GCGAGAGGGATGATGGTGGATGCCGCGGTTCGGAATGTAGGAGAGAGCTGTGTGGCGCCTGCAGGGGTGATGACTGCCGTGCCTAGTAATAATGTAGTAGATCACCGTGCAGTTGGATTTGGCATTTGCCTGGTGAGGGCCACCTCGCTTGTGTCCCGCGCCGCCGGGAGGGGGGGACGGGAGGGGGAGAGAGGTGTCTACTTTTGTTCGTGATGCATGAGGTATTAGGAGGGCAACAATTCCAGGGAGAGAAGCAAAGTACCTGGTGCAGCAGTACTTGTTCTGACCTTGACGTAAGCGATTCCTCTAGGCGTGGCATATCAACATGGATGGGGTGGCGCGTGGGAAAGGAACGTGATTGGAGTGTACAGGGAAGGGCCGAGTGTAAACCGTTGTCAACGAGAGAGAGCAGCATACGTTTTGCGTAATGGTTCCATTGGTGACCGTTGAGAGAAGAGAAGGGCACCGAAACCTAGTTGTCCAAAAAACACGGCTCGTTGTTCAGGCAGTACAGTGCCGGCCCGCGCTGAAGAATATGGCACTTAAGAATTTGATGCTAAAATAATCCAAAACTTAAAAATTTACCGATAAGAACACGTGCTCAGCTGCACGCCCTGTTAGGAACAAGAACACACACCTGAGGTGCAAAACTGCTGCTACAAATAAGAACGACAGCAATGCAGCGGCTGCCAGATAAGAATACTCGCAGGGGGAGGGAGGGAAGAGGGGTGAGTGATCCCCGAGTATTGGATTTGGGAACATACCCCACATATCAACATTTGTATGTTTTTAGAGGGGGAGGGTGGGCATTGTACGCACGCGTCGTGACCCTGGGTGCCCCAGAGAAAGCGTGATGCTNAGCGGCTGCCAGATAAGAATACTCGCAGGGGGAGGGAGGGAAGAGGGGTGAGTGATCCCCGAGTATTGGATTTGGGAACATACCCCACATATCAACATTTGTATGTTTTTAGAGGGGGAGGGTGGGCATTGTACGCACGCGTCGTGACCCTGGGTGCCCCAGAGAAAGCGTGATGCTCGGGCGGGGTGAGCTCCCCAAGGCGAGGTCCATTCTTATCATGGAAAACTTGCACGCGCAGACCACGGACGAGTTCAAGGAGTATCTTGCGAAGCACTGCAACACTCTCGCCTGGTATGGCCCTTCGGTGTGCACGGACGAGGTGCAGCCAGTTGATGCAGGAGCCGGACGATTTCTCAAGGTGGAAGTCGGGAGGCAGCTGGACATGTGGCTCGAGCAGTCGGACAACCTCGAGAGGTGGGAAACCGCGTCGCTGACAGCTTCTGATCGGCGCGTCCTGATCACTCAGTGGATGGGAGCGGCCATGGCAAGACTCAACAGCCAACAGGCGTACCGATACCGTCTTTTCAAGAAGTGCGGGATGGCCATGACCGGGGACGGCTCGGGCGATGATCGAATCACCTTGGAGGGTTTGGACAAGCCGTATACCTTCGCTGACGATGAAGACAGTAGCGACGATGAACAAGGTTCGGAGAACGGCAACGATGAGCCTGAGGGGCGGGCGGAGGAGGGCGATGGAGGACGTGAGACGCTCATGGAGGGCGTTGACTCCAGCGATGAAGACGACGGCGGTAAATTTGTTTTGCACAAAACCAATTCTTCACCTTCTTTTTGTTGATGACGATGTCCTTCATGTTGACGTTAGCTTGTTTCCACGCACGGCTACACTCCAATTATGATAATTTCAGGTTGAGTTTGGCAACGTGACACCCAAACTTTGTATGTTTCCCGTTGCCTCGTTCGCAGACATCTCTCAACCCCAGACCGACGAGCTAGCTCTTCTGGACGACGACGACAGCATGGACCCACAAGACCCGGAGGATGAGATACAGGGAATGGAGATCCCGGCAGGCTTTCGTATTCAAGAAGCTAAACCCGTTGCTCTTGACAGATTGCTTTTGCGGCGTGGAGTGCTCGTTAGGCTGGGCATGGGGTGGTTTGGAGGGCTGATCAATCAACAATCTCAGAAGGACATTCGCCACCTGTACGACTACTGTGTGCAGCTGGAGCTAGACCAGAGTACGCGCAAGATGAAGTTGCCGTCAGACAAGTACAGCGGAGATTTGGATACGGCTGTAGGCTCCTGGGTGTTGCATGAGAGCATTAGTAGATCAGGAAGGGTACGCAGGACCAAGGTCACCCTTGTGGACCAAGAAGGTTGACAGTTGCTGCTCCATGCCTTGGTATTTTTTTGTATCGACAGCAGTACTAGTGTTGCTCATGGTTGACAGCCGACAATATGATGATAAAATACTGTAAGAACAAGAACGCCCCTTTCTGGAGAAGAATGGACGACGAAATATGAACTTGGCAAATAAGAACTGGTGCTCGGGTTGGGGCAGTCAATAAGAACCGAGCCTCGCCCAATATAGGAAGTTCTTAAGTGCGGGCCGGCACTGTAGTCCAAAAAAAATGTTCTAAGTACACCTCGTTTTTTGTGAGCAACAAGCATCTGCAGACCCTGTGCGTTTTTGGTTTGAGTGCAACGGCGCGCGGATTGGTGCGAACGCATTCGTTACCGATCAGGATCCCTTTTCGAGGCAGTGATAATCAGATTGCGGACTCGAAGCCCGTGACACCAAATACTCCAAAACCTCCACGTAACAGTACTCTGTAGCGGGTGGGGGGCGGAGAAGGAAGCCGCACGTGGATCACAGCTGATGTGCGAGAGAGAAACCGCGGGCACTTGTTGAAAACGTAAAAATCCCTCTTCCTCGTGCCCACGCGGAAATACAACACCGGTAGTCGCGAGGCGTATCTCAACGGAAGCCATTTTTGTGCTTGGATCACGGCTGATGTGCAAGAGGGAGAGCGAGCTACAACACAAAATATAAAATCCTCTCCCGTCTTGCCCACGCAAAAAATGAACACCGGAAGTCGAGACGCGTGTTTCAAAGGAAGCCAAAGGCGCTTGGATCACGGCCGATGTGCAAAATCGAAATCGCATAATTCGTGGAGCGCAAGTGTTTTCTTCAGACAACCACTATCATTTCCGGTGCCCACGAGAAAAATACCAAATAAAAACAACCTTGGGAGGGCCTCAAGAACGCTTCGAAGCCTTCACCACTTGACTTTTTTCTTGCACCTCTTGGATTGCAGGGACGCCTCAACATGTTTTTTTTAGCGAACACAACCCTCTGCGCTCTCGTGCCCACGAAAAGAAACATCAAAAACATGTGGTAGTCGGGACGCAAAATTCGCAGGGAGCCTACAGTATGCTCCTTCCCTTCATAACTTGAAAGCTTTCTTTTCCCTCCCAGAGTTGGAGGCTGCCGCGAACGCCGAGGCGTGCTTGGGCGGGTCGCTGAAGCAGCGACGACACATCACAACGCCACCTAACGTTTGACAACGAGTGCACATGCAGACTGTGGTAACTCTCTGCCCCCTTGGCTTCCCCTTGCTCTTCCGCTTAGGGTTGGTTTCTTTGCGACTGTCACACGTCCTCCCCGCGCAATAGAACCGTTGGCCTTTTCTCAGAATCTTGAGGTTGCCATCCCCCAACTTTGCCCTGATTGCCGCCACTGCAGGGGTGTTTTGATGCGCCCGGCACCCCCTGTCTGCGTCAGAGTCCCTACGGCAAAAATCCCGTGCCACAACAGGCACATGAAAAGGATGGGCGAGGTGAAATAGTTGTCGCACGCCATGTAGGTTCCCGACCTAAACAAGTGCGCTCCCAGTGCCGGACACGCGTAAAATAAGACAAAAATCACCATCCGGCACACCCGCCCCAAGGGACAATTAGATCACTGGTGAATCTTCGGATCACAGGCGTACCCGCCGTCCGTGTATCCCGTGAAACAGTTCCCGCTCCAGCAACATACTCCCCAAATCTTCACCCCTGGAAAAAAAAGACATTGGCCGGCGGGGCTGGTGAGCGAACGATCCGCTCCCCTCGTGTTATTCCTGAGCCGACTGGTTCGAAGCTAAACACTAAAGAGTGACATGCCTGGCGAGGAAGTCTCATGCCATTTCATCGCTATCACGGGTTACATATCGTATGTTTCCATGAAGGAATGGAAGACAACAACGAAAACATGGAGCGTTTGGTGGAGGGGGTAGTGGTGGAGTCTTGAGCGTTGCATAGCTTATACAGGTCCTACGAAGGCACACTATTTGTTTGCGTACTTCGCTTGCTCGCCGCGAGTTTGGCATGCTCACCGTTCTTCATCGGCTTTGTTGGCATGTGCCTCATCATGAATTTTGCGGAACTGCTAACGCACTTGACCATCTGCTCGTCGAATGAGATCCATCGACCCACCAGAGTGGCTCCAGTCCACGCCGTGTTCAACATGGACTCCGACTCGCTACACGTATACAACGAGAGGCGATTGCATGACGGGGAGCGGCAAGCGACCATTGGTGTTGCCAGGGTGCACAGTTGATTTTGTGAATTCGACGTATCAACCGCGTACGGTATGGCGTGCTATATCAATTCGGAACGGTACCCCGTATCCGGAAAAAAAGCTCAAGGCAGGAGGTGATTTTCTTCGGAAACTGTTATTCCGGGAAGAAGTTCTGCAGGAAAAGCGAAACAGTATCAACGGCAGCTATTACAACATACACTTCTCCCCTTCACTTGCTACCTGCGTTACACCGTGTCGGGCTTATGTGATCGTGACAAACAACCTTTCGGGCCCGTCTTGAAGACGGGGGGTTCGTGATTATTTAAGACAGAAAGACAAGCCCCTGTCTTTGACATATTTGTTGTTGTCGTTGGGAACAAATCTAAGCAGATTTCGTCAGGCACGGCCACGTACTCCAATCCGGGCGCAAAATACCCATTTTAATAGCACAGAGGTATCTTCAATCCCAATACACAAACCAGCCGCACAATTCATACCGGATATGGTGTAGCGAACCCCAACCGGGCTCCGTGGTCCCGTCCTGCAAACGCTTAGGGGCGCCCGAGCTTGCCATGTGAAAGAAACGGCCGTAGATCAGGAGGGACATGTCGCGCGGGAGGCAAGCACGCACGAGCTTGTAGTCGTGGAAGGAGTGGCAGCTCCAGTGGTCATGCACCGCTGGCAACTGGACCAGTCCGATGGCGAGGATGATGCCGATGACGCCCTGCATCATTCTCTTGGTGATGCCCTTCTTCGGCCAGCTGGATTTACCTTTCCTCGCTTTCTTGTCGCGGTGACGCTGCTCCTGCTCTTTAGGGTTCTTGGTGCTTCGGCAGAAGTTGAAGTACTCGTATGTCTGCCGCAACGGCGGGACATTTTCAGGCAACGAACGAAAGTACAGTCGACGGTGTCGGGTGTGGCGTGGGTGGTGTTGCACCACCGTGGAGCAAAATGGTATTGAAGGGTGGTACCTGCGCCACAACTCCAACCCTTTCGATCATGGTATGAACACGTGACGGACAGCCCCCTCTCCACCAAGTTAGGAATGCAATCCAACGCATGACCAACGACGTGATGGGTTAGGTGCTTGCACTGACCTTCCGGACAAGGAGTAGGATCACCGCGGCCGGAAACATGATGCTGAAGAAGGTGAACGCAAGTTCGCCTAGCTCGTCCACCGAAAATCTGCCCAACTTGTCTGGGTCGAACGCAGGCAACGCGCCTATTGTCTTTTTCGACGGTTTGAAGCTTACATCTTCTCCCTCTCCCTCCCTTTTACGGTGGCAGTCGTAGTACTGGTGCCCGTCTCCTCGGTAGGAGCCTTCACCGTCAAAATCAAATCCATCACCACCGTCACCGTTCCCATCGTTTCCGCTCCCAACATTAGCGCCGTTGCCGTTCCCATCGCGGCCGCTCCCTTCACCATCGCCCTCAAACGAGCCCGCGGCACCGCCCCCCGCTCCGGCACGACTCCTGTCGTCATCTGCCATGCCCTCCCTCTCACCCCCATTCCCCGCGGCGCCGCTCCATGTGCTGTCGCAGTTCCCGCCGCGTGCTCCACTACGGGCGTCACGACCGCCGCTGAGGCCACCATCGTATCTCGCCGACCAATCTACATCTGTCTTCACGCCGCGGGTTGTCCAAGAGTGCTCGTCGGCGGTATTCAGGGCCTCGTCTCCCTTCTGCTCCTCGCCTGTGTCGCCCCCTTCCGGAGCGTCCTCCTTGACCTCCGACCTGGCCTTCTTCTTTTTCTGTTATTGGCGACGATATGGAAAAATACGGTGGTAACAGGGGAGGGAACAGGGGTATCAGGTCTGCAGGCTTGAAGTGCACAAGGGTAAAGGGGCGCAGGAGCGACACAGACAGAAAAAGAAGAAGAGAGTCAGGGGGGGGGCGGCACGGAGAGACAGGCAGACGGAGAAGACTCTTCGCACACCACAATACTACCATACACGCTGCTGATGCCGCAAAATCTGACAAACAAGTACCGGATATTTTCCAGCAGCGAGAGAAGCAACAAGCAAAGAGAGAGGTCCCTTTCTTCTAGTCTCAGGCATATACAACGTGGTGCACCATCGATTATTATTTGCGGGAGTACTCCTCTCACCCTCCCGTCGCTCAGTGACAGGTAAAGTTGTTGTCGACACGCCCACGACTATGAAACATTAATATTTGACCACGCGAAGTCGTACTACTGTACCTCTCGTGCTGCCGCAATACACAAACGACAACACTTGACAGCTCAGAAGCGGCTAGCGTTCACGGAAAAAAAATGCGCCCATCCTTACGTTGCGGTCTTGCACGAGTTGCTTGGTGTTTTGCATCAACCCAAAGATGAAAGTTAGGGCCTCCTTTCCCCAGGCCTCCTGTATCTTGTCCACCATCGCATTGACCTGCTGAGGGCTCTTGCCACTCACGAACACATCCTGGTCGTAGTCTGCTGCGTCCCCCGGAAACTCGCCCTCACTACCGCCGTCACTCATGTCGTGGTTCCCCTCAGCCTCCTGTTCGTACTCCGCTTCGTCATCACCCCCTTTTCCACCCCTACCGCACGTACGGTCCCGACTACCCTGCCGGCTGTGCATAATACAGAACATACCGCAGGGAGATTTCTCTTCGGCCCCACAGGGCTCCCCTTGCTTAGGGCCGCTTGCGAATGTTGAAGTGCAAGTGCTGCGGCGCCCCCGCTTTCCACGCTTCTTTTTTGAGGGCGCTACGCCGGCACCACTTCCCCCTAACGTCTCCGACCCCGCAGCATCTTCCGCTTTGCTGCTGTAGAGCTCGAGTGGTTTCTCCTTCGGCATGGGCTTCTCCTTTGACCTGGTCGTTGCCGACATGCCGCTGGCGGAAGGAAGTACCGCGGGCTTCGTCACCGCTTTCCCGGGCGGCGTTGTCTTCCGCTCCGGTACATCCCTGGGTGACGCCGTTTTGACGGGCCGGGCACCTCCAGCAGAACGTCGCGATCGCACGCTGCTGCTTGTCTCGGTCTCGTCATCCACGTCGATCGGCACAGGAGAGCCCTGATGTTCATCGGACGCTTGTCCGATGTGGTTGGACACGGGCAAAAATTGTTTGGAGGCTTCTCGTGCCCAAACACGGATCGACCAGAGGACCCCCGTTGAAGCATGTACGGCTTTGCCCATGGGACGGATTCTTGTGGGATCACGATGGCGCTAAAGTGGTTGAATTTTGTTTCCGCCACGTTGCTGCTGCTTGGGTTGCGCACTGTAGCCGTACCCGCAGCATACGTAGTTGCGTTGTAGCCCCCGAAGACATTGTACATCAGGTGCAGAAACTCATCCCGATAAAGATCGCCATCGAAACAGTCCGTGGTGTCGCCTATTTCCACGATTCGAAGCCCACCTCCAGTTTGCTTCCCAGACCACGATATTGCAACGTTTCACCACAGCTACTAACGCCAGCTGACCTACCGCCAAGTAATCGTGCTCCAGTTGATCCTCGATGCCCGCCACCACCTCTCGCACAGTCTTCAGTGGTTTGTGTCTTACAGCTCTTGCAGCTCGGCCGGCGGAGGGGGTGCGCTTTGGGTAGAAACCCCTCTCGTAGCCGAGCTTGCCAAGTCTCAGCATTTCCTCGTCAGACACCGTGTTTTCCACTAGCTGCTCGTAGTCCTTAGAGAAAACAGCAGCAATCATTTCCAGGGCGATATCTTCGCGGGTCTGTGTTATCTCGCTTGCTAGTGCACCGAAGACGCTATCTCGCTCGGGGTTCAGCAGCCTGCAGATGCTGTGCAGAGCGCAATGACCATCGCCTGCTACCTCCAGCACCTTGCAGTTCGTGGTGTCCTCGGGGGAGATAACTGGGAGACCAACGTCAGTACGCGTTGAGGCTGCATGCAGCAGTTGTCGGCCGTGCTTTTGTGCATCGTGTTCCCAAGATGTCATGTGTCTGTCTTGCCAACCGGGGTTCGCACCAGCATACCACGAGTGGCGGTGTGTGTGTGTGTGTGTGTGTGTGTGTGTGTTACTAGCATCGACCGTGCTATGTGTGTGTGTGTCTTTCATTATTAGCATCGACCGCGCTAACCGTGTATGTTTTATTATTATCATCGACCGCGCTAACCGGCTGACCAACTAAAAGACGTCAGTGCCAGCGGGTAAAAATCAAGGTCTCTGGAAGGGGGCAAAAATCCGAAAAATGCGCAATGCGCTTGATGCGGTTGCCAATACGACTCTCTCTACATATTCTTTCACGAAGATACACATCTCAGCTACACAAATGCCCTCGCTCGAACCTAGGAAGCCACTGATACAAAGAGCGGAGGACAGCACAAGGGATATTTCAAGCCCAGCCGAAGCCAGGATATCGTGGTATGCTGCATCTCCCAATTCGATTAATCGTGCACTCCCAAGTGTCAGCAGCTAGGTGACTCAAACAAAATAGCAACACACACTCGGCCATAGCTCCACGCATGCCCTCGCCCGAACCTAGGAAGCCACTGATGCAAAGAGCGGAGGACAGCAAAAGGGTTGTTTCAAGCCCAGCCGAAGCCAGGATATCGTGGTATGCTGCATCTCCCAATTCGATTAATCGTGCACTCCCAAGTGTCAGCAGCTAGGTGACTCAAACAAAATAGCAACACACACTNTGTGTGTTTTATTATTAGCATCGACCGCGCTCACCGGCTGACCAATGAAAAGACGTCATTAGTGTGTGTGTTTTTTATTATTAGCATCGACCGCGCTCATTANTCGAAGGGTCGAAGGCACTGTCTGCCAGATGTAGGCTGTGAGATAGGTGGAGCCACCTATCTGTTCTTAGCCTGCCCGCCCGTGAGGGTCGTGACGAGGCCGCTGTGTGTTTGTGTGTGTGTCAGGTGGGGATCAACCTTCCTTGTGTGTGTGTGTGTTTTATTATTAGCATCGACCGCGCTAACCGGCTGACCAATGAAAAGACGTCAGTCTTAGTGCGGTTGAAAACACAAAACACTTCTATCTACCATGAACTGGGACCCCGTGAGGGGGCAGCATGGGGGAGGCTAAACTATCCTTCGGATCAAAAACAGAAACAGCAGCAACAGTCGAAAACTGCACCCGTCTACCAAGGCTATTACCTAGTACTCGAGTTCGTTTAGGAGTACTTTCACCAGTATCCTCCTTGTTTTCGCTACCATCGTTATGATCCTCATTTTGACAAGAAGAATCCCTGGGCAGTTCTTCCCTCGTGTGTGTGTGTGTTTTTTATTATTAGCATCGACCGCGCTAACCGGCTGACCAATGAAAAGTCTTCACTCTTAGTGGGGTTGAAAACACAAAACACTTCTATCTACCATGAACTGGGACCCCGTGAGGGGGCAGCGTGGGGGAGGCTCAACTATCCTTCGGATCAAAAACAGAAACATCAGCAACAGTAGAAAACTGCACCCGTCTACCAAGGCTATTACCTAGTACTCGAGTTCGTTTAGGAGTACTTTCACCAATATCCTCCTTATTTTCGCTACCATCATTATGATCCTCATTTTGACAAGAAGAACCCCTGGGCAGTTGTTCCCTAGCCCTATGGTTCTTGTTGTGGGGAAGGTCATCTGGCTCAAACCCTTTGCTCTC